GACAAATAACAAAAATTATGTCGAATGTATTTTTGGTAATATTAACATTTACAGAGAAAATGTTGCAGTGAACCAAGTGTCTACTCATCGGTTAACACAGGCCATTATATAAACCCAACAATCTCTACTTGACGCGCGTAATGGGTGGTGGGTAGACGTTACCATGCATGATTGAATAAATTTATGTTCGGAATAGTTGATAGGTCAAGGTATAGGGCTTGATTATATTAAATAGCAGTTTTACTTTTCCTACTACCAAGTGTTGCCGTTTACTCGTAAAACCTCCTTTGCGTACGCGTACGCGTGGTATCAGGGCACTAGACAAAATTGTTGTCAGTGATGATCAATCCTACAGACTGAAGTCAGTGCGTAGTCTCCAGTGCCCAATTACACTGGCACTCCACAATGCAACATTTTCAATCAAGAATAAGACTGGCACATCGACAGTTTTACCACATGGTATCCTATATCATTCAATTAGTGGCCCGTTAACGCATATATAAAAAGTGAATTGCTTTTATATACATTTTGGCTTATGGTTTATGACATGATGGTCAGCGGCCCAAAAGTACTGCCATGGGCCAAATGAATCTACATCAAACACCTACTTTCTTAATAAAGTATTATCATATCACTCTCTGTCCAGACTCCAGAAAGGAGACACAAATCGTTATGACTCAACCCGTGACTCGGACTTTTTCGTTCCATTATAGTGATGTTTTGGTTGAGCTTCAGAAGCGCTGGTCAATACAAGCTCATGTTGCGTATTTCTGGCCAACACGAACATCTGCTGCGCAAATCACTTCTATCGTTCAATTTATTAATCTCCTGAAAGAAACATGCTGTCATTTTACCCTTAAGGCGTACAAGGTTTCTGAAGACCCTCAACCTCTCTAAGCTCCCGCAAGGTAAATTGGGTCGCCAAGAGAGGGTGTCAAGTCCCATCGTCCGATGTGAATCGTTATTCAGAAGAAATTCCACCACTGGTCGAAAGAAGAAGCTATCAGCTCGATATCTGTCATTCCGTTATGCCTTGATCGCTACAGTGCGCATTTGTTGTACAAATATGAATTGCACTTCGGCGACAGTTTTTTTCGGTGCCATGCTGTCTGATTTTGGACGCTTCGATTCATCTGAATACATTGCATGGTGACGCAGTTCGAGCAAGCAATTTACCTAATCCGTCTCCATGTCTGTTCGACGGTGTCAGCATAATCGGGAAACGGGTGCTTAATGTCCGCCCGTGTCCACCTGGGTACTTTAAAGGCCTGTCAAAAATAATGTGCTTGCTCGTACCGATGGAGTTAAATTTCTGTTGCTAATGATTGTGACCACTGGGACACGACATAGGTCCAGCTCAGTCTTCATCCCGTGCAGTCTTGAATGATATGTACAAGTTCTTCCAGCTGACCGCGGCAGGCAAGATGTCGCTTGCACGTGGCACTGAGATCTTGCCGCGGATAATACAGCTTTAAATTTTAGTTGCTATTCGGTAGCAAATTCAGATTTAATACTCCGTGAGTGCATGGCGATGCTCATACAGCAATGGCAGATACTGCGACAACAAAATATACCCTCCTTCATGAGCTCCTTCTTCGAGTTAGCTCTGTGTTGTTGTCTGTAGATTGCAGCTAAGAGAGCTGGAACCATATATCGTTTCGACTTCTAAGACGGCTGGCATTTTTACTCTTCATATGAGCGAATATTGTTGAGGGTCGGGGGAAGGAACCACAGAAACCCATGTCAATGCGGGTGCGCTACTAGTACGAGTGCTCTGAACAGTGTTACCTGTTGGATAACGTTTAATTCCTGCATGTCTTCTACTGGTACGCCGTCCATCTGATCGATAACCCAATCAATAATATTGACCGCCTGAATAGGGGTGAAGAAGGAATAATTTTTCTCCCGGGGGTCGCGAAATTGCTGCTGACAACAATACGACTTATAGAGGTCCACGTAAATATGTGAGGGCCTCACAACCGTCCGAAGTGTAAGTTTCGGTGGCACACAGACTGTTTCCCCGAATTGGTAAGCCGGATAATCCATAAGGATTGCCGTCGCCCAGTGTCCTAATTTGGTGATCGTGTGACACTTATTTTCTCCCGTACATGAAAAGCGGATTTTGTTGTCCAGCGTCGACAAACGCGTGACGTGTAGTTCCTCTAGACGACATGCCCGTGGCAGTGGGTATTTGCTTGCTGCTAGTGATCGCCCCTTGTCATCGACGACAAATTGATTCTGATCCCATCGATAAGTTGCTTAAAATTGCTTGTGATCTTGATTGTAAATGTACTTGAGCGTTGGTATGTTGTCGTAATACTAAAGAAGCAACCCGCGTCCATTACGAGTGGATACTAGGTTACCTACTACGCGCTAGAATGATATGTGTCGGCGCTACTGAAAAGTCAACCATTCGACCTTCGCAGGTACAATTCAAGCACTGACTTCTGCTTGTTTGTTTTGTTGAGGTTCAGTATTAAGACGGCGGCGCCGAGAGTTCCTTAAGATCGGCGATAGTCTCCACTTCGTAGTGTCTTCGGCATCTTAAAATGTCCAGATTGCCCACGCAAAACAATAGCGGCCCTGTTTGTAAATCGACCATTGCATGGCGTGCTTTAGATTTTGCGTGTTCATGGCGACATCTAGGGAGATAAAGCCGATTCTGCCCGTACCACGTGGGGTATACAGCAGGCCTGGATTGACCTGATGCCTGCCGGTGGCCGTTGAAATGAAATGATGCCAAATAAATCGATTTTAAAGATTGTGCGATTCCTTCTTGGCCCACTGAGAGATTCTGAAGACCACCGCAATATAGAGGACAGCGGAGAGAATTATAATCTGAGTAGCATAATCTGGACGTCGACGCTAATTGAATTACTAGTCGCTGTGGCTAGCCGCTTTCTCACATTCCGGACCCGTAATGCCTAGATAGCGTCAACTAGATCTCCGGTTCCCACAAGATCCCCGAGATACCTAGTCGAAACTCCATGTTGAAGGACAGAAATCCCGTTATACTCCGTGACATCAACCGCTGTATTAAAAATATCAGCACAATCTTTGCCGGTTGAACAAACAGCCCAGAGAGTTCCTCGAAGCGCTGCACGATGGTCAATACCTGCGGCAGATATTTCGCGCGATCGAGAAAAATAGTCGAATCGTCAATAAATCCCGAAAATTTTCTGCTCCGTGTCTGGATATCCAGGATGTTGTAGCACGTTAATACGTGTGTTTTAATTTATGGCAATTTCCAGTATCTCCGCCAGAAGTAGAAAAGTAGAGGATACAAAGGGCAACCCTGTCGGATCCCGTAAGTACAGGGATAGGATGTGAGAGCATTCCGGTTACTACGAACCGCGCCGTGGTGCCGTCATCATAACATCTTTAACCATAACAAAGGCTTCCACGAAGCCAAATAGCCGGAATACCTCGAGTAAGAATTCTCGTGAGACCATGTCATATACCTTGCGAAAATCCAGAAGCAAGTTAAATCTGCCATCATTGATAGCTCTCTCCGGGTCGGACATTGCCGCACTGTGCTTGCTGATGAACGAAGAAATGTTTTGAATTTCTACGAAGTGTAAAACGTTGTACAAATGCACTTCGTACCCGATGCCGTGTGTGGACAAGTTAATTTCTTCTGTCCCATGCTGACCGCGCGGACTCTCCGTGCTTACAGTGCAATCTATATACTATTAGCTTGCAGAATACCGTCATCAGTTGAGTCTCCTTGCTGATTTACGGTCGAAAAAGACGAGGTGAATGGTTTGAAAACCTCATCTCAACTCAACGTCTTCATTTTGCGAAGTAGATCGTGCAGGCGTTGCAGGTTGACGTGTGTGAGCTACAATGATGCCAAGATGTCTTTCTTGATTGCCTGCGTGTGTATCCGGCTGGTCGGAATTGTCCATTTTCCGTTGAGACGAAAGCTTAAGTTCTCTTCGAGCTGCATTGAATGGTGCTGTGCAATCGGAGTAGTTTTGAATGATTAAACTTACCTGCCAGCAACGGTGGAAGACGTCTGCCCACGATATCACCCTCTGCCAATCCTTTCATGATTTCTCAATTGTCCTTTATACCTTCCCGCAACTGTCGCGAGCCCGCAGGGCCTAGCTTCTCCACGCAGAGTGCTCTCAGTCGAGCACGCTCCTGAGGAGGGTATTTATTCGGATTGAACATGAAATCCTCATACCTGTCTGCTGCCGCCGTAGAGTGTTGGCCCGCGTTAGGAAGGTGGTCCCTTGTTATCTTTCCCGCTAGTGAGTAAGTACGGGGAAATTTGATCAGCGCAATTTACTCGTTATACACTCCAAAACAGTACTGAGCATCCATGTTGTGTTTAAAATGTCATGACAGATGCTTGTAGCATACATTTCCCGTTGGAGCAAGAGGCAATCGACTTAAACGCACGCCTCCTCGAAGAAAGTTGTGAGCATCGCACGTTCAACTGGATGCAATTTCGGGTACCGAACCTTTTGTGGCGCGACCTGCTCCCGTTTGGCCGGTATTGCGTTGTAGACCTCCGCTAATAGGTACGCCAGCTTAATCGACCACGTCTCTCTTAGTTCCGCACTCTTGGCCTCCTTGATGTATTTAATGAGGCTGATGTATATGTCTTTTGCTGGCAACAAGGGTAGTTAAGAGGCTGGGATCGTAGTGGAAGTGTCCACTACGGGGCCTGTGGTTGCCTGGATCCGGACTGGGAATCCGTCCTCTGCTCGCGTGGGAGGGTCCAGGATTGCCGACTGCGCCGGATGTCCGGATCCGTCATGACCTGGATAGGAGGAACAAGGCTTGTTAAGCACAAAACTCGCTGTGTTGTCGCTACTCCTGGGTGACTGCCTCCGATTGGGCGATTCAAAGAGTGACATAAATCGCTTTAGAAGTCGAGATGGATCACGTTTAGCAAAATAAACTCACTCATTCGAGGATACTTTTATCCCGTCTGTGGTGTCCTGCACACCACCAACGACCATCACTCTCGTCCAAAAGAATAAAGGCGCATGGAACCTTCAGCGGTCTCCGCGCTGCCTGGGGCCGCAAACGCTGCAGACGACGCAGTGGCCGTACTGCTTCACATCGACAGCTCGTCCCTACGCTCGGACGACGCACCGGACGTGTGCGTGTCGCTCTTTGACACTGCACGCGTGTGCATGGACTTGGCGGTCGATCTGACGCTCGTGCTGGGCTTCGAGCGCGCGATCTACCTCACACACAGGGACACAGACGCAGCTAAGGGATCGCCAGAATCGTACGCATCGTCTTTGCATGTCATTGTCGATGCACAGACCGTTCGGCTCAAGCCGCACGAGCGAGTGGCCGACGTCACGTGGCTCGACAGCGCGTTCGTGTGTGTGGGCTACACCACCGGCATCGTGCGCTTGTTTACGCGCTCGGGAGCGCTTGTCTTTGAGCAGCAGCTGCACCGCGCTGCAGTGCACAAGCTGACGGTGAATAGGGACGTGGCGACTATGGCGCCGCGTCGAGCCACGCTGCCAAGTCAAGCACCAAGCGAGCCCGAGCCGGCCGAGTTCTGGGTCTTGTACGCCGATGCCACAGTCGTTGTGCTCCAGGTCTCGGAGGTGATCGCTGCGGTGCGGGCTGGAGGCGTGGAGCCGGCTCAAGTCCATAAGGTTCGCAAGTACTCGCTGCGAGGCCAGACAGACGTGGTGGCTGCAGTCCCGTGTGGACCAGTCCGACCCACAATCTTTCAGTCACACGCTCGTCTTGGTGTCTACACGATCGTGAGTGCGGGCTCTGCGCCGTTTCTCTCGTTCTACCCGGCTGGCAACGACCAGAACTCGATCATTCACTTGGCGCAAATTGCGATAGCCATTGCATCCAGAGCGGCTGGGGCGGCGTGGCGCTTCGCAACGACGTGGGGATGGAGACGAGGCACAGACGAGACGTTGGCTCGTGGAGATGAGCAGCGAGCGGTGGCTGCTCCTTTGAGTTCAGATGCGATTGATTCTGCAGTGGAGCACATGCCAACCCCACTTGGCTCGACTCACTCGATTGACGAAGATGAACGGCGACGATGTCGAGTCCTGGTACTGAGTCCTTCGGGCAAATTAGCCGCTGTTTCGGACTCGTTGGGACGTATTGTACTGATTGATACCTCTCGAATGGTTGTTATAAGGATGTGGAAAGGGTATCGAAATGGACAGTGTGGCTGGATGCAGGGCTTGGAAGGTGCTCGTCGTCCACTTGGATTATACCTGGTCATTTACTCTGCTCAACGTGGCATTGTCGAAGTATGGCGTGCACGATATGGCCCCCGAGTTTTTAGTTTTGCTGTGGGTAACTGCGCGAAACTATTCACGCAGTTCGATTCCGTCACCAGACGAACAAAGTGTTATATTTTGACGAAATCGAGCGGTACTATGTCGGAAGTGATTGAGCTAAAACCTCGGCTACCTAATGCATCGACTTTGATGAAGTATTTTACGCAGAACAAACTTCAAGAGGAGCAGTTTCGTTTGCACCAAGTGGTCGGTAGTCTACATGCGTTTGTGAAGAAAAATGGTGACCATACACATGAGCACAATACATTGAATTCGTTGCTAGAAGACATGCGCAGTTTTTCTGCATTGACGACGATCCAGGCACTTCTGGACGTCTTACTAAAGGCTGACATGAGATCGCTTGATGCTGCCTTTTTGTTAAGGGCACTGGAGAACTTACAGCTGGTACGTAGTCTATGGTTGCCGCCGAATCGTCAGTCTGTCTAAAACACGTGTCTTTGCAGGCGTTGAAAAACGAGGTAGCATTTGCAACACCGACAGGTGCAAGCCTGTCCCTTCAGTGGAAGTTACTTTGGCAATACCGCCTCGTATCTACATTTATCGGCTTCCAGACTGTAAGTGTGTTGTGCAGATCACGCGTTATTCATGTGCTCTTCCAGGCCTTCGGATCTCATAGTTTGGTTGCGCTTGCAGGAATTTGCGAGTGGAAAGCATGCTTTCATGTCTATGCTGCAGACCTCTGACCGGGAAATCCTATTGCAATCCAGTACAAGCTCTGGCTGTGAAGAGAATAACTCTCCTCCGTTCTCTCGTGTTATGCCATGGTATGAACTCTATCGTCGGGCTGGTCTTGCCTTCGACGATGAATCGTGTATCAAGACATGCAGAGCGAGTGATAGTGCCAGTCAGCTGACTGCGTGGGAGTTTATGGAATTCTTTTCGATGCCGTTTGATGATCCGGACTTGCCTCGTCGCCGAGACATAATATCGCTATTTGAGACCGCTGAGACGGACGAGCACTTTTTGCGTGATGCTTTCCGTGTGTTAGGGACTCCGCTTTTGCGCAAGTTTTCGACTCTCGCGCATAGGAACTGCTTCTTGACGTTTATTTTCGCTCCAGTGCTATCGAGCGTCTTCGCGGTTCAGGTATGGGCGACTACTGACAAGTATTGAGGGATATGCATTGGGTTCTGACATGTGCATGACTTTGCAGGAGCTGCAACGATTACATTCTACCCTTTATCTGACGGAAGGGATTCTCACAAAGTTATTTGTTGATTGGTACTTTTCACTGCCTCTTGGCATGGTGCTCGCTCTTCCCTCTCCTTCATCGTCGTCGTCTCTCCAACGTTGGCTGCAACCATATTTCGTCATTGCAGATGTGGAGGAAGCGATCGGACAAGAGGGGGACAATGTTGACGTGTCCTACGTGCCGACAGAAACCCGCGTTTTTCGCTTGCGAGATTGTCATCCGTCTGTCGTGGAATTCTTCGATTCATGCTGTAAGACGCCAAAGCTTTTTCATGCATTTGTGTTAAGTGCGCATTGTGGATGGAGCGAAAAACAGTCGGCGAAACATGCCGAAGAAGCCACGTTTGGAAAGTATAGCATCATTGCTAGCGGTGTACGCTGGGCCGTTCTGCAGGAGTGTATTGCCAAAACGATGCACTTGTCATTGCGGCTTGGAAAAGCTGGCTGTTTGTCCGTTGACGCTGTCGAACATGTGGATGATGTCATGCAGAGGGTTGCCGTCATGCAGCTGAATGACGGCCACGAGGTCGGTGAAGATGACGCTGCTGTGCAATTGCCAGAAGACCATGCGGATGTCGATGTCGATGGTGACGAGACCGACGGGTGGGTTGCGAGTATGGAAGATTGTCGAAAGGCTGCAGATATGCGAGATTGGGCAGCCGTAATGCTTGCATGCCCTCAACTATCGAGCAAAGACGCCTTGTGTTGTTGTCGCGTCGAGACACTTTGCACTACATGGAACGCTGAGCGGTCCGACATGCGTCAGATAGAAGGCGCGCTGTTAGAGCTTGACTGTGTTCAGTCACTTCACCTGAAAGTAGCGATGGCGGCTCATATATGGGAGCGATACATTCGCGTGCACGTGGCAACACTGGTTACTTTTTGGGAGGAAAGTGCTGCAGGTAGAAAGCCCCAACGTGGTCTCCAGGCACAAGTCGCTCGGCGCTTTTTTGGTATTATCCGGAACCTACTTGCAATGCTTTTAACTTCGGTACAGACGATTTCGACCGCACCGATTACGTCAGGTATGCATGATAAAAGCGATGTTGAAGATGAAGCAAGTGAAGGTGACGAATCTTGTGACGACGATAACGAGCTGCCAATGGCTGAATATAAAATGAGGTGTCTGACGCAGCCATGTCGATGGCATCTTCCGGTTAATGATCTCCACGTGCTGTTTCGACAGCATTGGCCACCCTCGTACGAAACGTCGATGCTAATCAAAAGCTTGCGCAGCTTCAAACTCGAAACCGTCTCAGCGTCACAGATCGCCGATCACACCAGTTTAATTATGCTGCTCGACTCATTTGCTGCAACAGCAGTGACCCCGGTCTCGATCGCCAAGCTATTTTCAGATCAAGGGCATTTCTTGTGCTGTCCGGACAGCTTTCAAACGAGCCAGCTGCTTGCCCAACCAAGCGCAGAGGAGATGGTTTGTATCAGCGAAAATCGGGTCAAGTTTTCAAAGGAGCTACTCCGGCATGACGAAACGCTTGGATTTGCGCTGGCAGAGGCGTTTGGACTATCATCGGAGGTGATCCGTGAAGAGCACGTGCTCTTCTTGTATCAGTCCGGACGAGATGAGCGAGCAGATTTCGCAATTGAAAGAATGCGAAGGCCGGAACGGTTGGTATCTAAGCTGGGATCCATTGCACGAGCTCGGCTTTCACTTATTTTGCAGCGAATGAAGACCGAAGCGGAGTACGCTGTTCTGATGAGCATGCTGCCTGCAGACGTGTTCGCTTGGGTGCTCAATGATACCCAGCCACCTCTCGCGGTAGACGCTCTCGTCGAGAAGCTTGATCTCACGCCATCGCTTACTTCGACCCACTATCTACTGCTCAAGTGTTTGTCCATGATGGTACCCACGGGTGAGGAATTCGAAAAGGTTTCGGCTATGTCCGTGCTCGTGAAGGACGTCATTAGCCAGGTGAAGCCGCAGTCATAGTTACATCAGTCAAATTTGGGGAATTGAAATTTATATCGCTAGCATTGGCTTGCAAATTAAGTGTCCGAAATGCGGCCAAGGAAGTTGCCGGATGGGGCCCGATACGAATGCAAAGTATTACGCTGCACGTTGTTGTGCTCGGTATCATCAATACAGAACACTCAGACCTGTGGTGGTGTACAGCAAGACGGTGTACGCTGCTAATAACGCCAAATCGGGAGACTTCGCCATGTGCACAGCGCAGTGCAGACTATCCTGCACCTAGATTATCAGTGCGATCATACCAACGACGGACCTTCAGAACACGAATCTTGCCACTGCGAGTGCGTTAGGCTCGGCCAGTATACGCCTGGATGGCAAAGTTACGTCTCTAAGCACATTACTATTCCGCCTTCGACCTTAGTCCTACCTTAGACCAAGCTGGAAGCACTACACCGTATTGCAATACCCCATTCACGCTGGTTGCAAGTTGTAAACGATCTCAAGAAAATGGTGAAGCATATTCAGCGAGCATGCTTTGCCCTTTCGGTTTCTAGCGAATACGATAACGCTGGACAAGAAACGCTTCCTCAATCGCTTCCTTCCACTCAATCTCGACGTCAAGGAAGCGTGGGTTCTCGGCGTTCCGCCGCACCCACCATTTACCGTCGATTCGGTCACCCTTCTTCACGGTAAAAGGTTTCGAGATATGGAAGAAGACCTGGTGCCAGTGCGTTGGAGCACCTTCGCATCCCGTTGTGAAGTACTCAGGGCGCGGGAGATCGCGCTCAAAGCCAACGTCAAAGCTGGACACGAACCCGTGCATGGTCGCATCCCTCGTGACGGACAGTGTGAAGGTTGAGTGGAAGTCGAGCCCATCGTATGTGACGTGATCAATGTCAATCTCCTGCAGCAGCTCGCGACTCGTGATGATGTCACTCTGCTGAACATCTTCTACAAACGCGTCTCGGATTGAGATGTTGGACTTGACGGGCTGCATGTTGAACCCGTATACGTCGTCCCAGAAAGCAAGGCGCTGGGATGAATCTTCCATACCCTGAATCAACAATGAACACTTGTCAGGAAACATGTGACCACCCGGGGCGAGCCACTTGTCTCGCGCGAAGAGCACCGTGTCCAGCATTGCTTCGTATAGAAGGCAGTAGCCCATCCACTCAGAGACAATGATGTCCACCTTGTCGACAGGCAGATCCATGTCTTCGACTTTGCCACGAAGAATCGTGATAACGTCGCTGAATCCATTGGCCGCTACAATCTCGCGCGCCACGTTGCCCATTTCGCTGCAATCGATGCCAATCACTTTCGCAGCACCAGCTTGAGCAGCAAACATGCTCAGGATACCTGTGCCACAGCCGACATCTAGCACTACCTTGTCTTTAAATATCTCCGGGTTGTTGAGGATAGCGTTCCGGTAGCCATCTGTGCGGACCCTGTCCGTGATCATCTCGCGATGAATATCCACTTTCGAGTACGAGTCAAAGTAGTACGTGTCGTTGTTTGCGGCGTCTTCAATGGGCGCATCATCTTCGCCATCAACGACAAAGTCCCGCACAAGCTTTGAAAACCTGGCCAGTTGCTGCTTGAGCTCTTGATTCTCCCGTTGCAGCTTGGCAACCAGGTCGCTGTCGTCGCCTCGAGCAGGAGACGTCTCCACTTCCATCTTTTTGCTGCCTTCTCCACTGTCGTTGACGTCGTCATCGTCGCTGCAATCGCTGTCTGCGCAGTCGAGACAGTAGAGCAGCGGATCGTCCGCCACCACAGGCTTGAGGTACTCTTCTTTCTCGAACGCAGCACGGCCTTCCGTAGCCAGTGTCTGCTTGACCTGATCCGCTTCCACTCCGTCCAGGGTATTCCAACGGATGAAGTTGATGAGTTGGATCGTGCCGTACGTGTCCAGCTTGTGTGCCAGGATCTGCTCGTGCAGAGAGAAGTCGTGCGCCTCCTGGAGATGTGCGTGCAGCGGCGCCTCCGCCCGGAACTTGCTAGCACAAAGCACGCAGTTGTAGCTGACAGATGAGTTGTCATCGACCCAGTCGTTCCAGTCTTCGCCGCCGTCCATCTCGACGGGGTCGTTGAGCGTCGGCATGTCAAGTGATAATGGTAGAGACCAAAAATGACTGGCGCAACGGATGGCTACATTCGAGCTCAGGCGACTCGCGTCACTTGTTTTTGATTACCAACTGCGGTTTTGCAGGTGGGATGCAACACGCAAAAGCAGGACCTGCCTGTTGCCCAGCTGAAAGCAGATGGCACGGTACATTGCTGCCATGAGCGACTCTCGACACCTACTTGGTGCGACAACTCTGCCAAGTGAAGGAGCAACATCAGTGCGTGGAGGCGCTGCGACTCCTTGTTTTTTCTTGCTGGTAGTTAGACCGCTCTGAAGCCCACCTCGATCAAGTACCCAGCGTGATAGCGGCACGCTCGTCCAAGCCGCTTCGTCGGCTACTAATCCCCTGGAGCGCTGAATGCTTGCACGTGGCTGGATGACGAAGCTCGAGAAGCCATGTATAACGATGACAAGCGGTTTGAGCCTGTCCGTGAGATGATTGTTGCCTGGTAACAACACACGTGGATGTTGCTGCATCTTTCCAAGGAGATGGCTTTCATTTAGACGCGCGATATCCTGCTTCAAGATGCAGTGATGAAGCGTGCAGTGTAACAGCATGTCGTCTGTACACTCCAATGTCGAATGGGTGCGGATATCGAATGGGTACGGATGTCGATCGCGCGTCGTCAACAGCCTCTTACGATGGTATTGGTTACAATGGCAAAAGACGCACGTTCTGCAGGACGTGCCTCATTACGGCGACGCAGCCAGGTCTAAAGATATGGGCAAAAGCTCAGTGCGGCATCATCTATGCCGGTTAAAGGAAGGCCGCGAGAATCACGAGTCCGGCTTTTGTGATTGTTCGATCGATAGTTTGACTAAAGTAAATGGGAAAACCGATACAAGAAAAGAGACTACGCACAGCAGCCGTCTTTCGCTTGGTCCTGGGACTCGTCCACACGAAACTTGCTGCTGTTGGCCACGTCTAACCTATCGTGCTCGCTCTCCGCCAGTCGCTTCTGAACGTCCACAGCGACGAAGCGAAAGGCCTCTTCAATGTTCTGGTTGCTCTTTGCGCTCGTTTCGAAGAACTCAATACCAAACTCATTCGCTAGATCCTGACCTTGCTTCGTCGTCACCGCCTACAATACCACGAATAACAATCCGTTTATGTCAGCACAGTCAGGCCACATTGTTTTGGCAGCGCCATTCTGTACGCACGCGTTCCGACGGATCAACGTCACACTTGTTGCCGATGAGGACTTTATTTACGTTCGACGACGCATTCTGTCGGATCTGTGTCATCCAATTGCGAATGTCTGCGCGGTAGCTCCAAATTAACGTCACATATCGCACCAGCTCCACTTTCTCACCACAACCACTAGATTGCAATCAATGTGGCAACACGTACTCTGGAAAGAATGGTCGTCTGTTACGTCGTACACCAGTAGAATCCCCATCGCGCCACGATAATAAGCTGCAAAGAGCAATCCAAACGATCCACAGAGACGTCATCACTAACCCGTCGTTCCCATTTTCACCGACAGATAGTACAATTGCTACGCGTACCGGTTGTGATCGTACGAAATCGCTCTTGTCCCGCAGTATCCCAAATCTGGAGCTTTATCCGCTTGCCATCCACTTCAATGGTCTTCACTTTGAAGTCGATCCTACAGCGCAGCGTCAGTCCAGGCACGACATGTAGCCATGTACAATTCATTCTGTAGCGTCGGTACACACCCAATTGTCGTGATAAACGACGTTGTGAACGAGTCATCCGAGTACCGCAGCAGCACGCAGCTTTTCCCTACGCCTGGCAATAGAAAGAGTCCGTGAACGGAGGACAGCGGCGGTTAGTATGAGGCACAGACCCACCGACACCGACACACACGCGTCCACCCGTCATGTACCGCTGTCTCCGATGAGCAGGAGCTTGATGAGCAGGTCGTACTTGCTACTGTGGACCATGACGCTCGAAGAAGATGCGATGATGATCGGCTTTGCCACGTTCTTATACGGTCGCTCGATGGGTACCAAATAAGTGGTTCCCACAGCGGCCATGGAGAAAGTAACAATAGGCTCTAAAGGCAAACTGCCGTTTGTTCTGCACGAGATCGAGATCTCCACTTGCAGTTGCGACAACGACTATTGATCGATATAAGCTGCCCGACTGCAGTGCAAATACGCACGTATATGTTTGCCTACATTGTAGACACTGAGGAAGTTGTACAAATGTTGTAGCGTCACGCTTTGGTATCTGCTAGTACCAATAATAGCAAATGATTTTATGGCTGTGCGCGCAGATAGCGACTTTGTGCCAGTGTATGCGAGCAACGCGTATGTGGTCACCGTTGTTTATTATCACCGCATATCAAATAGCAGCTAGGTAGTCATTTCATCAGTAGGAAGTATGTGTCTACGAGATCAAGAGAGTTGAGCTACAGAAATGAGTACGAGTCGAAGAAATTAGTGGCGAGAAGCCTTCTGCAAATCGATAAGATCCTTAACCGTTTCTAGGGTCGTGCAGTGCGATTATGCATAATTGAACATTAATGTTAGTGTAATCACTGCGAGCTGAACCGAAACGAGAATAAATCGTTGTCAATCAGCCACAGTCTGAGCGTGCCATAGCTGCTAGGGTACTTGAGCAAGTGACATAGAAAGGCGTATACAGGCGAATGGAGGCGTGACTGGTCCACAGCGTAATCACATACGACTGCACGTTATACGTCAAGCAATTTGCGTTACATGTTTAGGCTCAATCTTCTGCGTAAGACTTGCGGCTTTGGCCACGAAACAAATGCTTCCAATTTGTCTAAAATGGTTCATCTTTTTGCCCGCAATCTGCTACAATTTGAGCTTACAAAATCACTGCAATTACACCAAAAATGTTCGAACTGCATTCATCGATGCATTTCTATTTAGTCGACTGTGCTTATCCACGTTTGCTTGACTTCACATGGATCATCGTAGAACTAACAATTGCGCTAATTCCAGTACATAGTTTTAATTTTGTGATTACCTGTACGTGCAGATGTGTATTTGAGAATAATCATTGTAACGTCATCCGTGGCAGGCTAACTTGGCCTTTGCACTTGTCCACTAAAAAAGCCAAAGATAGCTCCCACACCATCTATCCACTACTAAACGATCTTTCTTTCGTTTTCGTCGCTAGGGTATGGTACATGTACCCATTCTTGGACATTCATGACTTCTGTATATACGGGCACTGAGTATTTACTTATGTATGTCTCGCATTCTTGTTAGATTGATTATGTCTAGATGTAGAGTTAGCGCTACTTTTTACAACATATATGGAGTACTTCTGGCCGCCACATCAAGCTTATTAATTCTTTTTTCTTAACAGCTTTAATGCTTTTGTGTCCATGCGTGACATCTCCTGTAACGGGGCACACCCTTGCGTGAACTTAACGCAAGGGTATCGGTGCGCCCGACAGACGTACACGAGGCAAACGAGGAAGCGTAGATAAGGGAAAAGTAGAACTGTGTTATAAATATATAAATAAGTCTTTAACCACTGTCTCTCTGTTTGACTTGACTTGATTATACTAATCTAACTGAATGTATGACGACGTCTACTCACCCCTCATTGCGCGCGTCTTGCGGCGATTGGTGGGTTGATATCGTCAAGATATCAACCAATGAGCAGACTCTTTGGTCGACCCATCAATATTACCACCATTGGTGATATTGTTAAAAGAATATTCAACATAATATTCTTTATTGTCATTATTTTCTAAATGACAATTTCCATGTAACGGGCTGCCCCGTTACATCACCCCCCTTAACTGATAGTCACCATGTGACTATCGAAAATATGGAGGCCACCCGTTGGCCACCATTGGGACAGAAAGCACTTGTTGGGCCCGTTCCATTTACTTTTCAACCGACCTCGCAAAGTTAACATGTCTATGCGGAGTGACTCAACACGCGCACAGCCCGCTGCTATGCCAGCCTCTGTGGCAGACGATTCGTCGTCTGCTGCTTCTTCTCCGCCTGCAGCAACAGGTGCTGCAGGTGCACGCGGTACAACACCGCGTGCGCATGATGACCCCGACATTGAGGTCATTTACTCTGGCGAGTCAGACGTGTCTGACTCGGGCAATATTCCAGAGGCGTCTCGATCACCGGCGACGTCTCAGTATTCGCCAAGACCACTGCCGAACGAACGGACTCGTGAGTTGCAACACAGTCTGTTCGGCAGTGATGATGAAGGTAATCAGAGTGGTGATGAGCATTACTCCTTACCACCGCCGACTCGTGCTTCTTCGCACGAGCGTGATGACGATGGCGTGAGCCGTCGTCATTCTGGGAGCCGTGATACCGACAGAGGTACCACTTCGAAGCGTGATGAGCCGAAGCCGTGGCGTCTGCCCGAACGGCTCATCAATAGCTTGTCTCACGAGACAAGCCAACACCCTCGAATACCCTTATTCGATGCGACTGAGCTTCACGGCTTAAGTTCCAGCGCGAAGAACTTTCGCGCTGAAGAAGATTTTTATCTCGATGTCTTCCTTAGACATCGATGGTACAACAGCAACCAAAAGCGTGACAAAGCATCGCTTTTGGCTGCGTGGAAAGCGTTCGTCCAAAACGTAAAGAATTTTGGACGAGAAGGGTGGCTCAAGAAACTTGAGGCGACTCGCCTCAGGTTCGAAAAGCGAACGCCAACCGGTGCAGGGTACCGATTGCAATGTTTATCGAGTGAGGCAGACATTCCTTGCCTCACATGGGGAGACCCTTGTGCTAGTTGTGTTGACAACTCGCAGCGTGCACATAGGGATGTGTATTCCCTAAATTCGCCCTGGGGAAAGGCACACATCTCGGCTGAGATGCGTGACGCGATTGCAAACTTGCAATTCGTCTACAAGCGCCTAGGGCGCGTGTTTACCGATGGGCCACAGGACTCATCGGATGGTTCTCGTCATACTGGCGGACGAGACCTTCGACACACATCAACAGCTGAGAGCGGGGCTCCCAGCTGCTCCAAGAGGGTGGATACCCCGCCACTGGAA